AAATGTGCTAATTTCCGCTTCATGCCAAATTTTTTTTTTTTTTTTTTTTTTTTTAGACAGTTTTAATGATTTTGTAGAATTTTTTATTACTTAAAATTCAAAATTTTACAATTTGAAATATAAAATTTTTAAATTATTAATACGCTTTAAAGTTTAACTAAAAATTATAAAATTTTTTTTTTAAATAAAAAATTTTTTTACGCCTCTGATCAAAAAATTTTAATTTTTCAAAAATTTATTCAAATAAAAATAACTTTTCACAACTGATAATTAAATAATAAATTTATACAAAAAAAATTTATTAAAAATTAAATAAAATTTAGCTGTCACTTGACAATTTTTTAATTTTCTCTAACTCGCAAAAATTTGTTCCAAAAAATTATTTTTAATTTTTTTGTGTCAATTTATTTTTTACAAAAATTTTAAAAATGATTAAATATCTGCTAAATTAATTTTGACAATAAAATATGATGATATTAAAGTTAGTTGTCACTTGATCATTTTTAAATTTGATTTAACAAAAAAATTTGTTCCGAAAAATTATTTAAAAAAAATTGCATTTTTAATTAATTAAATTTTCTAAATGTCAATTTTTATTCTTATATTTTTTATGCAGTATATATTATAAAAATTCTTAAAATTATTAAATATCTGTTAAATTAATGAAAATAAAGTTAGCCGATATTTCAAAATTTTTAGAAACTTTTGATTGAAAAAATTTCAATTAAACAATTGAAAAAAAAAATTACACATGTAAAAAACTTGAAAAACTATAAGTGCATTTTTTTATAATATCTTTTTAGTTGTAATTTAATTAATAAAAAAAATCTAAAATTTTTACACGTCTGCTAACTTTAGTTTTTATAACATGGCGACAAAACAAGGTTATACGTTACTGAAGAAACGAAAGAGAGAAAAGAAGGGAGTGGTAGCCATTGCTAGTGGCCGCCATGTTTTTCACCAAGTGGGGTGTTTAGAAGGCCGGGGTGAAAAAATCATCTCTCAGGATATGCAGGTAATTAATAATCCCTTATTTCTTGATAATTACATTAAAAAATAACCAACAAACATTATTAACTAAATAATTGACAGAAAAACATTGACACATTAGAAATATTTAGCAACGTCATTAGGTGAAATCGCACATAGTCCGTCGTTATGACTCACGTACCAAACGCGTAGTCTACGACAAGGTTATTTCCAATTATTTTAAATATTTTTGTCAGCTATCACAACAAATCCATGGGTTATTGCTCCTCTCTCTTCGTCATCCAGTGACTCGAAAATAATTCTAAACTTTTCTTCTTTTATTAATTTGGACAATTGTCACCAACAATTTATTTATTTAAATATAATATTCCATTAGTCATAGAGATTGCATCATTTATGTCCATTATTTCTCTCTACTTCTACTTCTACTAGTTTTCGTTTTCTTCTCAAGCTCTTTAATTTTACTATTGATGTTTTTTTATTTTTTATTTCTTCTCTTATTTTCACTTTACTCTTTTAAATGTCCTTTTAACCTTTGCGCGGGATTATTTTACTATACATTCCATTACTTTTTTTATGTGCCATTTTTTTTATTGATATTCGCTATTTAGGTCAAATTTTGTTTTTCCAAAAATAATTTTTTACTATTTAAAAATTAAAAAATTTTTTTTTTAATTAGTCTTATGTAATAATTTTTTGAAAATTAATAATTATAAATTAAAAAAAAAAAAAATTAATTTTTAATTTTTGTAATTTATTTTTTATTTTTGTAGTTTGCCATGAAATTATGCTCCGAAAAATTATTTCTAAAAAATTGCATTTTTTATTTTTTAATTTTTTTTTTTATTTTTGTAGTTTGCCATGAAATTATGCTCCGAAAAATTATTTCTAAAAAATTGCATTTTTTATTTTTTTATTTTTTTAAGTGTCAATTTTTTTTCTCATTTTCTATAACATAATTTATTAGTTAAAAAAATTATAAAATATCTGCTAAATTAATTTTCATCAGGAAATTTAGAATTTAATCCATAAAAATTTAATTAAAAAATTTAACAAATTTTGAAAGTTTTAATTTATTTCTTTTAATTATTTTTAAAATGTTAAAAAATAAATTTTGTGGTCTCTTAATCTTACATTAAAATGTTGATTAAAAAAAAAAAATTGTATTTATGTCATTTCTTCTTATAGTCAATTTTTTTTATCTAAATTCATCGAAGTTGGATTAAAAATCATTTACTACATAAAAATTAACTCCATTTTTTAATTATTGAAGAATAAATTTTTTAAATTAAAGTTTTATATACAACATGAGTAAAATTACAATTTTTAAGTTTTCTTTCTTAAAAAAATTTATGACATCAAATTTAGCAGTCACTGAACAATTTTTTAATTGTATTTTTAAGAAAAATTTGTTCCAAAAAATTATTTTCTTAAAAAATTGCTTTTATTTTTTAAAATTTCTACGTCAATTTTTTTTGCCATTATTTACTTGTTATAAAATTTTTTAAAAAAAATAATACATTTTTTACTTTCAAAATTTGTCAAATAATTTTTAAATATGATTATTTTTTATAAAAATTTTTATTACAATAAAAAAAATCTTTTTTCCTAAGAAATAA